CAGGCTTGTACAGATCAAAGGAACTCCGTACCCGTACTCCAGTTGGATTGCGCGCTCCGTGAAACGTGGTTACCGTGAAAACAAGTGCCATTTGTTTCACAAGAATGCTGGGTTGTGAACAAAACTTTCGCCCCAGACGGGACTCGAACCCGCACCTCTTGCTTTCCGGGCAAGTGCGCTACCAGTTACGCTACCGCGCAAGTTTTGTTCACAACCCAGCATTTTTGTGAAACATTCGCAAGTCGATACTGCGGCCAAAAACAGCAATTAACAAACGAAAACTGCTATTCATGTTATAATACGTCGAAGTCGCTGCGTTTAGCCGTGCCATTCGGTTCTATTTAGCCAAATCAAGTGGTCTAAAATTGTTTTTCCATGTACTAGCTCACTAATAGCATATTTTCACTATATCCAAATTTTAGTGAAATGCCCAAGAATGTCAAGCGTCAAAGGGATGAGTTTGACGCCTTCATGAAGGAGTATAAACAGCATTATCCAATGGACAGGTGTTTACCTAAAAGTGCCTAGATCAGTTGTTGCTCACTGTTGGCCCAATAGATGATTAGTATCTCTAGAACAAATGTCTCGTGCTCAACATCCTCCATATCTTGTTGTTGGTACCCTTTTTGATCCTCTTTTTTTGGAATCTGTTGTTGATTGTTCTTTGTATATCATCTAACTGTGGTAACCTAAGTTCAGTCTCATTTCTCAGAAAGTCGTAAATAGAATGTCGAACTTGACCTCATAGACTAGCATAGAAGTTTCAGAAGCCCTGTGATTCGCCCTGAGTTTCTTAATTGTTTAACAATTTACTGTTATTTTTTCCATATCGCTACTAATTGGGAAGTGTGGTGGTTTATTGGAAACAACGTTAGTGTAGTCGTCTTTGTTTCAAACATTTCTGTGGTGCCAAAGTTTATTATTTTCAATTTCTGATTGGTTGTTGTCCATCGTTAGAGAATAGTAAAAATCTAATTGTAATGGTCGAGGGGTGATATGTGCCATTGAGGTGATAGGGATCGATTAGCTTGAAACATTCAGTGAATATTTGAAGCATATCAAAATTATTACTCATTTGAGGGAAACAATAAAGTTGTAATGCCTTATGTTCTGGAATGTGCACGTGGTTTGTTCCACAAGTATCTGCGTCCTGCGTGCTAATCATCTTATTTGTTTCTTCAATGTTCCTATATATTAAGGTCTATTTCTTGGGTTTGTGCATCTTCGGAGGAACACAATAGTACAGGTGCGTCTCATTACCTATACTTATGGTATATTCTTTTATTCCAATATGCAAAATGTCTCCGCGTCATGGAAAGGGTGGTGTCAGAGTCCGCGATCTGTCGCGCGAATTGCAAAAGTCGCAAGTGTTCCGCAACTTTGAACATTTGAAACACCGAGCATGAAACAAGCAAGAAAGCAGAAAAGGCGCGGAATCGGAGAGCACCTCGCAGTATC